CCGTCATGCCCCAGCGGACCAGTTCCGGTGTACCGAACCGCAGTCCGTTCATGTCCCCGTCGACAGGCGGTACGGGAAGGCCGATACCGCACGCCAGGAAACCGGCCTTGCGAAGCTTCTTCGACGCTGCCTGGCCACCGCCCAGAGAAGCCGCTTCCAGGGCAAACTGGTGTGATCCGGTAAAGCCCAGCCTCGTCGAAAAGACCGGCAGACCTTCTTCAGAAAGGGCTGTTGCAAGGGCTTTTGCCGTTGCGGCCATCATTTGCGCGTAGGCAGGTCCAAAGTCGCGCCAATCCAGAAGCGATACAGCCAGCGCAGCAGATTTGGCAGCATCGAAATTCGCCGTCAGTCCGGGAAAGGCGATCCCGTCGAGCCTTCTGGACAATTCCTGGTCGTTGGTGACAAGGAGCCCGCCTGCCGGCCCACCAAGGCTCTTGTAGGTGCTCATGGTCATGAGATGCGCACCTTCCGACAGCGGATCGGTGAAGACGCCACCTGCAATCATGCCGCACTGATGGGCCGCATCGAACAGGACATAGGCACCAATCTCGTCTGCAATCGCCCTGATCTGCGTTACCGGATGCGGAAACAGGTTGAGGCTCATGCCGATCGTGATGAGCTTTGGGCGCAGCTCCAGGGCCTGGGCCCGCAAGCCCTCCAGATCGATCGTGTATCCGTCCGGATCAACCGGAGCTTCGTGAATTTCGAGCCCGTAAAGGCCGGCGCAACCCGGACCATGATGCGTCACATGCCCTCCGACGGAGGCGGGAGGAGCGATGATCACGTCGCCGGGTTTTGTGGTCGCCATAAAGGCGTAGAGATTGGCGATAGCACCGGATGCGACCCGGATTTCCGCATATGTCGCGCTGAAAATTTCACAGGCAAGCTCGGCGGCAATCACCTCAATCTCTTCAATCGCCTCCAGGCCCATTTCATATTTGTCGCCCGGATAGCCGAGCGACGGGCGTGATCCGATGCCACTGGCCAAAAGTGCCTCGGCCTTCGGGTTCATGACATTGGTCGCGGGATTCAGGTTGAAACAGTCCCGCTCGTGGATCTTGCGGTTTTCTGCAACCAGCTGGTCGACGCGACCGGCAACCTGAGCTGAAGTCAGGGGACGGGTGCTCCTGGTTATTCCGTCGATACGCGAGGCGACGTTTTGCGGCAACCATGGCCGGAGTTCGTGTGCAGACATTCAGGTTTCTCCAATCCGAATTGCAATCAGAGTGGACCCGGGCTTGCACATTCGCAAATCAGATTTTAGAAAAACAAGGGCTAGAAAAAATAGGTCAAAAGATGCCTGTATCACCCCCGACACCTCGAATTCCGTCGCTCAATGCCCTTCGTGCCTTCGAAGCGGCCGCGCGGCTTGGCGGATTTGCGCTGGCAGCCGAAGAACGCGGAGTGACCCCGGGTGCGGTTGCCGCACAAATCAAGTCGCTGGAAGAGGAGATCGGTGCCAGCCTGTTCGTCCGCAGTACCCGAGGTGTAACGCTTACACCGATTGGGCAAAGAGCACTGCCGGCATTCGTGGAGGTTTTCGATTCTCTGGGCCAGGCGGTGCGCGACCTCAGGCAGGATGCCACGCCCCACAAGGTGCACATTGCCGCACTGCCTGCCCTGGCGCAGCTCTGGCTCGCACCGCGACTTCCGATGCTGCGAGAAAGACTGCCTGACGTCGATGTGTCAGTGACCGCCATGGAAACTCCGCCAAACCTCAAACGGGTCCCGTTCGACATTTGCCTGTTTTACACAAACACCACCCCCCGGGAGGAGTACAGCTGGGAAGTGAAGAAATCCTGCCGGTCTGCGTTCCCGCACTGGCGCGCAAACTCAGGCGGCCGGAAGACCTGAAAACTGTTTCCTGCCTGACTGATATTGCATGGGCCGATGACTGGAAGCTGTGGGCGCAAAGAGTGATGCCGGAAGCCGACTTCAGTCCCGATGGTCCGGTCTTTTCACTTTATTCGGTTGCACTCCAGGAGGCGTTGAGCGGGGCAGGTGTTCTCATGGCACACAAGTCCCTCGTTTTGCATCATCTCCGGAAGGGAGAGTTGGTGGCCCCATTCGAGACACAAGTGCCGCTCACAGGGAAAATTACAATGTGGATATTGCCAAGCAGGCATCACATCAAAATTCTCAGCGATGTCGTTGAAAGCCTGAAGCAATCTGGTTCGGTATTTTGACCATGAGCCGTGTTGGGCTTTTGGACGGAGGGGATGTTTTCATGAGATGCCCGACGCGCGTGCGAGTACGCAGTTCTACGATTGCGACACTCTGCCTGTGGCGTGCGACATTGTGCGGGCAACTTTCACATCTTTGAATGCAGTAAGACCGCTCTTGATATGAATCAACGCGGCTCACAGGGAGTCGTGCGCATGGTCGTGCCATCGTTGGCACCTTGCACGGATTCTAAAAAACTGGGGCGCTGAAATGGCACATAAAAAGACCGGTTTGGTCTCGCTCGAGGAGGGTGGTTTCGCCATCTTCCTTGTGCTGCTTGCATTCGTCTGCATCATCGTAGCAGGCAAGACCTTTGATCAGGTCATGGCTTTTCACGCTGGCATCGGCGCGCTTTTCGCCGCGGTCAGCGTCTTTCTGATCTTCAAGAACTTCTTTGACGACGGCGGGGAACCTATCCCGGCCGAAATCGACGGAAAACCGAACTACAATATGGGGCCGGTCAAATTCGGTGCGGTCGCCGCCATGTTCTGGGGGCTTGCCGGGTTCACGGTCGGTCTCATAATCGCGCTTCAGCTGGCCTGGCCGGCATTGAATTTCGATCTTCCCTGGACCAATTTCGGCCGGCTGCGTCCCCTGCACACATCGGCAGTGATTTTTGCATTCGGCGGCAACGTCTTGCTGGCGACGTCCATGTATGTCGTTCAAAGGACGTGCCGTGTGCGCATGCCGGGCAAGATCCTGCCCTGGTTCGTGATCCTGGGGTACAACGTTTTCATCGTCCTCGCGGGTACCGGGTATCTGCTCGGTGTCACCCAGAGCAAGGAATACGCGGAACCTGAATGGTATGCCGATCTCTGGCTGACCATCGTCTGGGTCTTCTACCTGCTGTTGTTCCTGGGGACGCTTTGGAAACGCAAGGAACCGCACATCTATGTGGCGAACTGGTTCTATCTGGCTTTTATCGTCACGATCGCCATGCTGCACATCATCAACAACCTGACGGTCCCGGTCTCGATCTATTCGACCAAGTCCTACATCGTCTGGGCGGGTGTCCAGGATGCGATGGTGCAGTGGTGGTACGGTCACAATGCGGTGGGCTTCTTCCTGACCGCTGGCTTTCTTGCCATCATGTACTACTTCATCCCGAAGCGGGCTGATCGTCCGGTCTATTCCTACCGCCTTTCGATTATTCACTTCTGGGCGCTGATCTTCCTGTACATCTGGGCTGGTCCGCACCACCTCCACTACACGGCGTTGCCGCAATGGGCATCGACGCTGGGGGCGACATTCTCCATCATCCTCTGGATGCCGTCATGGGGTGGCATGATCAATGGCCTGATGACGCTGTCGGGTGCCTGGGACAAGCTGAGAACCGATCCGGTTCTGCGCATGATGGTCGTATCGGTTGCCTTCTACGGCATGTCGACCTTCGAAGGTCCACTGATGAGTTTGCGTTCGGTCAACTCCCTGTCGCACTACACCGACTGGACCATTGGCCACGTGCATTCCGGCGCTCTTGGCTGGGTTGGCTACATCTCCTTCGGTGCGCTCTACTGCCTGATCCCCTGGCTGTGGAACAAGAAGCAGCTTTATTCCCTGAAGCTCGTTGACTGGCACTTCTGGCTGTCGACGATCGGCATCGTGCTCTACATCACCGCGATGTGGGTATCCGGTATCATGCAGGGTCTGATGTGGCGTGCCTACGACAGCCTCGGCTTCCTGGAATATTCCTTCGTCGAAACAGTGGAAGCGATGCATCCCTTCTACATCATCCGTGCTCTCGGAGGCGCACTGTTCGTGCTTGGTGCCGTGATCATGGCTTACAATCTCTGGATGACCGTCCGTCATGGCGAGGCTGAGGAAGCCGAAGCCACGCCGGTTGGCTCCCTGGCTCCGGCCGAATAAGGGAGGACAACAATGTCACTTTGGAAAAAACACGAAGTCTTCGAAAAGAACTCCTTCGTTCTGCTGGTCGGTATCCTGGTCGTGGTCGCCATTGGCGGCCTGGTCGAGATTGCCCCGCTCTTCTATCTGAAGAGCACAATCGAGAAGACTGAGGGAATGCGGCCTTATACGCCGCTGGAACTCACGGGTCGCGACATCTATGTCCGTGAAGGCTGCTACCTGTGTCACTCGCAAATGATCCGCCCGATGCGCGATGAGCTCGCGCGTTACGGCAACTACTCTCTGGCTGCGGAAAGCATGTATGACCATCCGTTCCAGTGGGGGTCCAAGCGGACAGGACCGGACCTTGCACGGGTCGGCGGCAAGTATTCCGATGCCTGGCACGTCGAGCACCTGGTCGACCCGCGCTCACTGGTTCCCGCGTCCATCATGCCAGGATATCCGTTTCTTGCGGAAAACAGACTGAACACGCGGGACATCCAGTCGGCTCTGACAGTCAACACCATTGTCGGCGTGCCCTACACGGATGAGCAGGTCGAAAATGCCCAGACCGATCTCCTCGGGCAGGCAATGCCGGACTCCGACGCTGCCTATGCCTTCGAAGAGCGTTGGCCCAGTGCAACTGTCCGCGACTTTGACGGCAATCCGAAGGAAGTCACCGAGATGGACGCACTGGTCGCCTATCTTCAGGTGCTGGGCACCATGGTCGACTTCTCCATCTACGACGACAAGGCAAACTCGAGGTAAGGGCGATGAACGAAACGTATAACGCTTTTGCAAGCTTCGCACAGACCTGGGGCCTGGTCTATTTCGTGGTCCTGTTCGGCATCGTCCTGGCCTATGCGTTGTGGCCAAAGAACGCCAAAAAATTCGACGACGCGGCCCAGATCCCGTTCCGGGAGGATTGAACCATGGCAGATACACAAAACAAGGAAGTCGACCAAATCTCCGGGGTCGAGACGACCGGCCATGAATGGGATGGTCTTAAGGAACTGAACAATCCCTTGCCGAGATGGTGGCTGTACCTCTTCTACGTCACCATCGTATGGGCCGTAATCTACTGGGTGCTTTATCCCGCATGGCCCCTGGTCAACGGGTACACACACGGCATCCTGGGCTCGAACCAGCGCCAGGAAGCAGTTGCTGCCTACGAAAAGGGGATCGCGGAGCAGTCCGAGTTTGCAGACAAGATCGTGGCAACTGCACTTGAGGACATATCCAAGGATCAGGAGCTGTTGCAGTTTGCGCTGGCCAGCGGACAGGCTGCGTTTGGTGACAACTGCTCACCTTGCCATGGCTCGGGTGGCACGGGTGCGGAAGGGTATCCCAACCTCCAGGACGATACCTGGATCTGGGGTGGAACGCTGGATGACATCCACACCACGCTTCTCCATGGCATTCGCTCGGAAAGTGAAGACACGCGCTTCGGCGACATGCCGGCTTTCGGTAGCGATGAATTGCTGAGCAGGGACGAAATAAACCAGGTTTCCAACTTCGTCGCCTCCCGTGCCGGTGTCGAAACCGATGACGGTGTGGACCTGGCTGCCGGGCAAACCCTCTATGAGGACAATTGTGCCGCCTGCCACGGCGACAATCTGGAAGGCCTGCAGGAAGTCGGAGCGCCGAGCCTGATGTCTGCGAATTACCTTTACGGAAAGACGCTCGATGACATCAAGAGGCAGGTAGCCACCCCGCGCAACGGTGTGATGCCGGGATGGGTTGACCGCCTTGACCCGGCAACCGTCAAGTCGCTTACCGTATACGTCCACTCCTTTGGCGGTGGTCAGTAACAAGATGGTGAGGAGACGGCAAATGCGCCGGGTCGCCTGAAGCATTTGATCCGGCGCAAAGTGTGACGCTTTGCGCCGGATTATTTTCAAGCAATGCTGATATTGATCGGCGATGAGAACGGGATGAGGGTCCCGTTCCGATTGAAGCAGGATCCTATTGGGGCAGGATCGCGACAAAGAGGACGGACGGTATGTCTGCGGACACCGATACGCATGAGGACGAGCACTCCGAAGAGTGGTTTGCGTCGGCCAAGAAAATCTACCCCATGGCAACCCACGGCCTGTTCCGCAGGATCAAGTGGGCGTTGCTGTTCATCACGCTTGGCATTTACTATTTCCTGCCGTTTGTACGCTACGACCGCGGTCCGGAAGCTCCCGGACAGGCAGTCCTGGTCGATATGGAAAAGGCCCGGGGTTATTTCTTCTTCATCGAGATCTGGCCGCAGGAAGTCTACTACCTCACCGGGCTTTTGATCATCGCGGCTGTTGCGCTTTTTCTGATGAACGCCGTCGCCGGCCGGATCTGGTGCGGCTACCTGTGTCCCCAGACCGTTTGGACGGACCTTTTTCTGTGGGTCGAGAGGCAGGTGGAAGGGGATCGGCGCGAACGCATTGCTCTCGACAAGGATCCCTGGACTTTCGGCAAGGTAAGCAAGCGCGCTACCAAACATTTCCTGTGGCTCATGATCGCCTGGTGGACCGGCGGGGCCTGGGTCCTCTATTTCAACGACGCGCCGACGCTGGTCTGGCAACTTCTCACGTTTCAGGCGCCGATGATCGCCTATATCTGGATCGCGATCCTGACGACAACGACTTACCTGCTCGCCGGGTTCATGCGCGAACAGGTCTGCATCTACATGTGTCCGTGGCCACGCATCCAGGCTGCCCTTACCGATGAAAAAGCGCTTAATGTTACCTATCGCTGGGACAGAGGCGAGCCACGCGGATCTTTGAAACAGAACAAGAAGCTTGCGGCGGAAGGTTTGCCCGCAGGCGATTGTATCGACTGTTTCCAGTGTTTTCAGGTTTGTCCGACCGGCGTCGACATCCGTAAGGGGATGCAGCTTGACTGCATCCAATGCGGTCTGTGTATCGATGCCTGCGACAACATCATGACCAAGGTCGGCAAGCCCACGGGCCTGATCGGCTATGATACCGACGAGAACATCGAGCGACGGATAGAAGGCAAGGAGCCGGTCTACGAGATCGTCAGGGTCAGGACCGTGGTCTATGCCGTGATTATCGCTCTCGTGGGCGCAATCATGCTGTTTGCGCTGCTCAACCGGGATTTTGCCGATATCAGCGTGCTTCACGACCGCAATCCGGTTTTCGTTGAGCAATCCGACGGTTCGGTGCGCAATGGCTACACCGTGCGTCTGTCCAACAAACGGCGCCATACCAGGGCGTTCATGCTCCATGTCGAAGGCATGCCCACGAACACGCAGGTTGAGGCGGTCGGCGCGGATTCCAATTTTGCCGGGCGGCCGATTATCGAGGTTGGCCCCGACACAACACGTGAAGTGCGTGTTCTTGTAAGTTCGCCGCCCTGGGAGAAGATGCCGCATTCAACGCCGGTGACGTTCCGCATCACCGAAAGCGTGATGGGTGAGGTCGTAACCGCACAAGATACTTTCAAAGCGCCAGACAAGCCTTGAGGAGCAAACAATGACAATGGTTCAGTCGAACATGAAAGACCCCAAGGCGATTACCGGCAAAACCGTTTTGATCTGGCTGCTGGGGTTCTTCGGGGTGATTTTCGCAGCCAATGCCGTGTTCATCTACCTCGCGATCGGGTCTTTCCCGGGCGTGGTCGTGGAAAGTTCCTATGAAGCCGGCCAGGGCTACAACCAGGAACTGGCGGCGGCGAAAGCTCAGGAACAATTGAACTGGCAGGTTTCGAGCGAAGTCGTTCGGTCAACCGACGACACCTGGAAACTGGTGGTACACGCAGCAGATGCCGAAGCGACCCCGCTTTACGGCATCGACATCAATGTCCTCTTGAGGCGCCCGGCCCAGGAAATGGCAGACGTGGAAGCGAACCTGCGTGCGGATGGCGGCGGGCGCTATGTGGCCGATCTGGAACATCTACCCGCCGGCAACTGGACGCTTGTCCTGGAGATCGAGCAGGACGGAAACCGCAAATTCAAGTCTGAAAACCGCATATTCCTGAAGGACTGAGGCACTCCGCGTGACGGTACATCAGCGTGACTGGCAGGCATTCATAACACCGGGAAACAACGGCGCGGTTCATATGGACCTTGCCGTTGACGGGATCACCTGTGCCGCCTGCATGGGGGAAATCGAACGTGGCCTGAAACGTTTGCCGGGTATCCGTTCCGCCAGGGTCAATCTCACCAGTCAGCGGCTTGCCGTCGATTGGGTTGAGGACCAGACGGGCGCCGAAGAGATTGTCGGTGAATTGGCCAGACTGGGTTACGCGGCCCACCCGTTCGATCCGGCAAGCCAGAAGGAGCGTCAGGACAAGACAGGCAAACAGCTGCTGCGCTGCCTGGCTGTCGCGGGATTTGCCGGCATGAATATCATGCTGTTGTCGGTGTCAGTCTGGTCGGGAAATGCCACGGACATCACCCCCGAAACGCGGGACTTTTTCCATTGGCTGTCGGCCCTGATCGCGTTGCCGACTGTTGCCTACGCTGGGCGTCCGTTCACGAAAAGTGCCTTCGGAGCGCTCGCTGCAGGCCGGCTCAACATGGATGTGCCGATTGTGATCGGTGTGTTTCTGACCGTGGCACTGTCATTTGTCCAGACGCTGCAGCACCAGCATCATGCCTATTTCGAATCTGCGGTGATGCTGCTCTTTTTCCTGCTGGTTGGTCGTTATCTCGACCACAACATGCGCGGACGAACCAGGTCCTTTGCCGAAAACATTGCTGCGCTGAAAGCGGAAGTTGCCGCCCGGATGAATTCCGACGGAAGCATACGCGAAGTCCCGCTTTCCAAGATCAACACGGGTGACCTTGTCCTGGTCTCAGGCGGAGAGCGTGTGCCTGTGGATGGCGTCGTGGAAACGGGACAGTCGGAAATTGACCAGAGCCTGGTTACGGGCGAAAGCATTCTCGTGCCAGTCAGGCGGGGACAAAGAGTTTATGCCGGTACCTTGAATGGGGCAGGGGCACTTCAGGTTCGCGTAGAAGCTGCCTCGGGCACGACGCTTCTTGACGAAGTAAACCGGCTTCTGGAAACCGCGTCGCAGGCCAAGTCCGCCTACGTTCGGATCGCCGACCGTGCGGCGCGACTCTACGCTCCGCTGGTGCATGGTGCTGCTGCCTTGACATTTCTTGGCTGGCTTCTGGCCGGCCTGGCCTGGCAACCGGCCCTGGTAATCTCGATTTCAGTCCTGATCATCACGTGCCCCTGTGCTTTGGGACTTGCCGTCCCGGCAGTTCAGGTGGTGGCCTCTGGACAATTGTTCAGGCGTGGTATCCTGCTTAATTCAGGGGATGCCATCGAACGCTTGGCTGAAATCGACACGATCCTTTTCGACAAGACCGGCACGCTGACAAGGCCTGAGCCTGAACTTTTCGAAACCGTTGACCCGGCAGACGAGATGATAGCCTTGGCCGGGCGTCTGGCCCTTGCCAGCCGTCATCCATTGTCCGCCGCATTGGTCCGGGCAACGGGCGCTATCATGCCATTGCCCGATATTGAGGAAATTGCCGGAGCAGGTCTGGAAACAAACCATGAAGGCAAGAAGCTCCGTCTGGGCAGCCCGCAGTTCTGCCAGGCCTCTCGGGAGCTGATTGACGAAGCCCTTGAAAGGGTTCCCGGCGCTTCCCTGCTCGCAATCAGCTACGGTGACGAACCTGTGCGACTGTTGACTTTCCGGCAAAGCCTGCGGCCGGATGCGGCCAGTGTGATCGATCGGCTGGGCCAGGAAGGGTACACGCTTGAAATCATCTCCGGCGATACCCTGCCAGCTGTCGAGGACTGTGCAAAAACGCTGGGGATCTCTGCCTGGAGCGCGGGCATGAAACCTGCCCGGAAAATAGCGCGTCTTGAGGAACTGCAGGCGGAAGGCCGCAAGGTACTCATGGTCGGCGACGGACTGAACGACGCACCTGCATTGGCGGGTGCACATGTTTCACTCTCGCCTGTTTCCGCGGTTCATCTCAGTCAGGCGGCAGCAGACGCGGTGTTTCTGGGAGACAGGCTGATGCCGGTGGCCGATGCTTTGCACTTGTCCAGAAGGGCAAGGACGGCGATCGAACAGAACCTCTGGATTTCTGCCCTCTACAACGTCATTGCCGTACCGATTGCGGTGGCCGGTTTTGTGACGCCTCTCATGGCAGCCGTTGCAATGTCGGCTTCCTCGCTGGCGGTTACGGCCAACGCCCTGAAGTTGAAGTGGGGCGAAACAAGCCGTTCGTCCGGTACCGGCGGCGCGCAAACGCCAAAGCCGTCAGACGGGAGATAGCAATCGATGGATGTCCTGATCTTCCTGATCCCGATCGCACTCTTTTTGGGTGCCCTCGGCCTGATTGCATTTCTCTGGTCGTTGAAGAATGGTCAGTATGATGATCTGGAAGGCGCGAAGTGGCGGATTCTGGACGATGACGACCTGCCGGAAGACAAGCGCTGACGCAAGGACCCGTTTCCCGCGTACGGTCTGTCGAAGGATATGTCAGGCAAGAATGTTTGACAGCGCCATCGCAACCGCCAGCAATACAAGCCCCACTCCTGAAAGAAGCAGAATATTCTCGCGCAGTCCGCTGGAGCCCGCCGTAGATGGCTCGTGCTCGCCTGCAAGCGGCTCGTCCTGTCTGCTCTTGTCCCGGTCTGTGGTCATGAGGCTCGTGATCATTGAAGTGTGACATCTCTTTTTTTGTTTCTGGAAGCAGGATGACCTTCAGCTCTGAAAGTCCCGTTAATCCGTGGCGTGTGAAAAAGTTAATTGGCCACAGCATTACCAAGTTGTGAAAACTGAGCTTGATTACAAATCTGAAATTGGATTTATGAATAATATTCAATGAGTTAAGCTTCGATTTGCTGCTCTTGCCCGATGCTTTCCACCTCGGCAGGGATACGGCTAACCCAATCTTCAGGTTTTCATGGCAAGACAAGGGGAAACAAGGAGGAATTGGTGAGCCTGGATCTTGCCTCTTTGACATTTTTGCTGGTCGAAGACAGTGCTTATATGCGGACGATTCTGCGGACGATGCTGCAGGGTTTCGGTGCGCGTCGCATTGTGGAGGCAGAGGACGGTGCTTCCGGCCTCGAGGCCATGGATCGTGCAAACCCGGATATTCTGATCCTGGACTGGGTCATGCCCATTCTGGACGGTGCAGACATGGTGCGCATGATCCGCAGCCCGAACAATCCGTTCGCGTACATCCCGATCATCATGGTAACGGCCCATACTGAACGGAGCCGGATTGTCGAAGCCCGCAGGCTAGGCGTGCACGAGTTGCTGTCGAAGCCTATTTCGGCAAAGTCGTTGTATCAGCGGGTTTCGAGTGTGATCCTTCATCCGCGTGATTTCATCAAGACAGCGACCTATTTCGGTCCCGCTCCCCGGGAAATAAGAAATCGGCAGAAGATTTGGCAGGGCGGACCGGGGCAACCGCCCGGGCAGCCGCCTGGAGAAGCTGCAGAAGAACCTGAAAACGTCACCGCGATTGGCTAGGTATCTCGATCGTGGGGGAACTCAGGCCGCCGATTGTGCCGATTTTGAGGGTTCACTTGTCGTGTGCACGGTATTGGAGGCACTTGCTTCAAGTGCATCTGCAAACTGGGCCAGCACGTCCAGATCAACCGTATAATTGTCGAGCAGAAATTGAGACAGGACGTCGATCGAGAGATGTTGGTAACCCTCAATCGCCGCCATCAGTGCTTCCGGAGTGTCCAGCCGTTCACGCAGCTTGATCATTGTCTTCCGCTGAGTTTATTTTCCGCCACCTTGGATATTTATAGTTAATAGTGAGTAAATCTGACACGCGCAATAGCGAGTTTTACCCGTATGGCGGAAGGTTCCGGCCGTCCACAGCCTTCTGGGGAAGAACTGGCTGAATGACTGGCAAAAGACGCTGTTTGACCGCATTTTGGAGGCAGCGATCGAAAGGGCACGAATGGCAAAAGTCGTTTATATCTTGAACGGACCGAATCTCAACCTGCTGGGAAAGAGGGAACCGGAGATCTATGGCCATCAGACACTGAACGATGTTCATCAAATGTGCGTCGCTCAGGCGGAAAATGACGGACTTGATATCGTGTTCCGGCAAAGCAACGCAGAGCACGACCTGATCGATTGGGTGCAGGAAGCCAGGGAAGCAGCTCACGCCATCATTATCAATCCGGCCGCTTACTCACACACGTCCATCGCTATATTGGACGCTCTCAGTGCGTGTACGTGTCCGGTGATCGAAGTGCATGTTTCCAACATCCACAGGCGCGAAGCTTTTCGTCATCACTCTTATGTTTCGCAAAAAGCAGACGCGGTGATAGCAGGGTGCGGTGTCGAGGGCTACCTGCTTGCATTGCAACGGGCAGCGACCTTGCTGAAGGAAAGCTGACGGGTTTCAACCGGACAAGCTCCAGGCAATGGGTCATTGCTGAAGACGTATTCTAGTATCCGTTTCCGGAGAAAAATTCGCGCGCAATTGTCTGGGCGATGACTTTGAAATCAAGCAGGAGAGATTGGCTCTCCAGATATTGAAGATCATATTCAAGACGCATTTTCGCGGAAAAGGCATCCGTGGTTTCCCCACGAAATCCGTTGACCTGTGCGAGACCCGTAATTCCCGGGCGCACCTGATGACGTTCCATGTATCTTGTATCGAATTTTTCGTAATCAATTCCGGCCGCCAGCATGCCCGGTACGTGCGGACGCGGCCCGACAAGTGACATGTCTCCGCGAAGGACGTTCATCAACTGGGGAAGCTCGTCGAAATTGCTCCTGCGCAGAAACGAGCCAACAGCGGTAACACGCGGGTCGTTGGATACCGTTTGGGTCACGCCTGATCCATCACCCAGGTGCTGGTGCATCGTCCGGAATTTGAAAATCGTGAAAAGTTTTCCGTCGAGTCCGTATCGTTCCTGCCTGAATATGACAGGCCCACGACTTGTGACCTTTATCGCGATGGCGATCGCCACGAAAAGAGGCAGCAGAAGAAGCATTCCAGATCCTGCTCCCAGGATGTCCAGAATTCTCTTTAGTTTGCTGTTGCCTTGTGTCGAAGGGGTAACTTTCTTTATTGGACGGTTATCCTGATCAAAAACTGATGGGTTAAAAGAATAATTGGTTGTTTTACCAATGTATCGATAGCGACTGGTATCGTCATATCTAACGGATTCGTTTGCCAAGCTTTACAAGCCTCGAGCCAATACGTGTGGTCTAAAGGATTTGCCGATGCAACATAGCCCGTTGAAGCGGCAGGTGCTAAGTATTCGTTAATCAATGGTTAACAGAGAGCGTAAAATCCTTGATTTATTGGGATTTGTTATCAGCTCGACATTCAAGCTGCAACATCGCGGTGCGAAAAACGAGTTAAATTTTTGTAAAACATTAATTGAAACTGCCGAAAATTTCTCTCTCCGGCAGCTCCATGATCAGACATTGCCCTCAGAATGGAAGGGTCAGTAGCTGCGGCCGACGCTTGTATACTCAAAGCCGCGGGAAAGCATGTAGTCGGGTTTGTATATGTTCCTGAGGTCGACCACCTTCGGTGCCTTTAGCAGGGATTTTACCCGCTCCAGATCAAGTGCGCGGAACTGGTCCCATTCCGTGCAGATCACGACCACATCCGCATTTTCGATGGCGTGATAGGGTCCGTCGCAAAACAGGACGTCCGACATCATCTTGCCGGCTTCTTCCATGCTCGCAGGATCGTAGGCACGGATCTTGGCGCCACACGATTGCAGTTTCTCAACGATGTCGATGCTGGGAGCATCGCGCATGTCATCGGTGTTGGGTTTGAAGGCGAGGCCCAGCAGCGCGATTGTCTTGCCATTGACGTCACCGCCCAGGAAATCGACGACCTTGTCTGCCATCTTCTTCTTGCGAGCGGTGTTCACCTCGATCACGGAATCGACGATCTTGAGATCAGACCCGGCGTCCGCGGCAATCTTGGAAAGCGCGAGTGTGTCTTTCGGAAAACATGAGCCGCCGTAACCCGGTCCTGCATGCAGGAACTTGGACCCGATACGGTTGTCCAGGCCAATTCCGCGAGACACTTCCTGCACATTCGCACCAACGTTTTCGCAAAGATCCGCGATTTCGTTGATGAACGTGATCTTGACTGCCAGAAACGCGTTGGCCGCGTACTTGATGAGTTCGGAGGTCCGCCGCTTGGTAACGATGATCGGCGTTTCGTTGAGATACAGCGGACGATAGAGTTCCTGCATCACTTCGACAGCCTTGTCGTCCTCCGTACCGACAACAACACGGTCAGGCCGTTTGAAGTCGTTGATGGCTGCCCCTTCACGAAGGAACTCCGGATTTGAAACCACGGCGAAATCGGCATCAGGATTGGTTTTCTGGATTATCGCCTCGACTTCGTCACCTGTGCCGACCGGAACCGTCGATTTGGTGATGATGACTGTGAAGCCTTCCAGAAGTCCGGCTATTTCCTCCGCGGCCGCATAGACGTAGGAAAGATCGGCGTGTCCGTCTCCTCGCCGCGTCGGGGTTCCGACTGCGATGAAGATGGCATCGGCGGTCCTTATGGCGTCCGATGAATCGGTCGTGAAAAAGAGCCGTTCTTCGTCAACGTTCTTTGCGACAAGTTCCTGAAGACCCGGTTCGTAGATCGGAATCTTTCCATTGTTCAGGGCATCAATTTTTGTAGTGTCTTTATCAATACAGGTCACCACGTGACCGAAATCGGCAAAACATGTTCCCGATACCAGACCGACATAGCCGGTCCCAATCATTGCAACGCGCATAATATAATTCCAGTTCCTAAGGCTGACCCGGACGCAGGAAGTAACTGCGTCCTGAATTTTTCGGCAGCTTTGAAGCTGTCATGCCCCTAGCACGACTGACGTCGCGATTGCTAGCCCATATAGTCCGGCGATTCTCGCGGACTGTCATATGACGCCTTGCGGTCGGTCTGGGAAGACGTGCGCTTACACCGTCAGAAATCGCCTAACTTCGGTTTCCGACAGATCGGCACCTGAACCTGAAAGAACAATCTCGCCACGATCCATGACTGCATAATCATCGGCGAGATCCCTGGCGAATTCGAAAAATTGCTCGACAAGGACGATCGCCATGGTTCCCTGGTTCCGAAGCCATGCAATCGCGCGGCCTATGTCCTTGATGATCGATGGCTGTATGCCTTCCGTCGGCTCATCGAGAACCAGCAATTGTGGTCGTGTGATGAGCGCGCGCGCGATTGCAAGTTGCTGCTGCTGCCCGCCTGACAGGTCGCCGCCGCGGCGGTTCAGCATGTCTTTGAGAACCGGAAACAGGTCGAACACGGTATCGGGAATAAAGCGGTCACTTCGACGGATAGGTGCAAATCCCGTCTCGAGATTTTCCTTCACCGTAAGAAGAGGAAAAACCTCGCGCCCCTGTGGAACGACGGCAATTCCCCTGCGCGCCCGCGCGAAGGCCGGCAGCGATGAAATGTCATCTCCGTTCCACAGGATTTTACCGGCGGCGATACCATGCTGGCCTGAAACCGCCCGCAAAGTGGATGTCTTTCCAACGCCGTTGCGGCCCAGAAGACAGGTGATCTTGCCGGTTTCGGCAGTCAGGGAAACGTCACTCAGCGCCTGAGCCGCGCCATAATAAAGATCAATGTTTTCAACTTTGAGCATTGTATTGCACCTTCTCGGGGAAGACAGCGAATGTTCCGCGGCAAAAATTATCGCCCCAGATAGACTTCGACGACACGTTCGTTGGCAGACACATGATCAAGGGATCCCTCGGCTAGAACGGATCCTTCATGAAGCACCGTGACTTTGACGCTGAGCGAGCGTACGAACTCCATGTCGTGTTCGACCACGACAACCGAGTGGTCTTGCGCGATGTCCTTGAGCAACTCGGCCGTTTCTGCCGTTTCCGCGTCGGTCATGCCGGCTGCCGGTTCATCGACGAGGAGCAGTTTCGGGTCCTGCGCCAGCAGCATGCCTATTTCCAGCCATTGTTTCTGACCGTGACTGAGATTGGCCGCAAGTTCATGTTTCCTGTCGGATAGCCTTATGAGGCCGAGAAGGTCGTCGATGCGTTTCGTTTCTCCGCCGGAAATGACATGAAACAGCGTGGCGAACGGGCCACGGGGGGCTTTCAGGGCCAGTTCCAGATTGTCCCGGACTGTGTGGCTTTCGAAGACGGTGGGCTTTTGGAATTTTCGTCCGATGCCGATTTCTGCAATGGAGGCTTCGTCTTCGCCGGTCAGGTCGATCGCACCGTCAAAATAGATCTCGCCTCGGTCAGGCTTTGTCTTGCCCGTGATGACATCCATCATCGTGGTCTTGCCGGCGCCGTTGGGTCCTATGATTGCGCGCATTTCTCCAGGAGCGATGGTGAGCGAAAGTTCGTTGAGCGCTTTGAAACCGTCGAAAGTGACGGAAACCCCGTCGAGATAGAGAAGGCTGGTTGCTTTCACCAATGTCTTACTCCGCCGGTTGAGGATGTGAAGCACCGGCGCGGGACATGGCCGGAACGGGAGGAGGCGTGCTGGCGGGTGCATCTTCAGACTGTTTTGCCTGTGGCCGCGGGCCGCCGGTCCCGTCTTCCTGATCGGAAGAATTCCTGCGTTGACGCAGGTTCGACCATCCGTCATTCAAGGTGCCCAGTATTCCCTTGGGCAAGAACAACGTGACAAACACGAACAGTCCTCCGAGTGCAAACAGCCAGATTTCGGGAAGTGCCGCGGTGAACCAGGTCTTGGCAAAGTTCACCAGAACGGCACCCAAAACGGCTCCGACCAGTGTTCCTCTGCCGCCGACCGCCACCCAGATCACCACTTCGATGGAGTTTGCCGGCGCGAACTCGCCCGGATTGATGATGCCGACCTGCGGAACATAAAGGGCGCCCGCAACACCTGCCATCATCGCCGAAAGCGTCCAGACAAACAGCTTGTAGTGTTCGACGCGGTACCCCAGAAAGCGTATCCGGCTTTCCGCGTCTCGCACCGCAACCAGAACCTTGCCAAGCTTGGACCGGGTAATGGCACGGCAGATCATGTACGAAAGAACCAGCGCCAGGCCGGAGGCTGCAAACAGGCCGGCCCGGGTCGTGTCTGCCTGTATGTCGAAGCCGAGAATATCCTTGAAATCCGTCAGGCCGTTATTGCCGCCGAATCCCATGTCGTTCCGGAAAAAGGCAAGCAGCAGTGCATAGGTGAGGGCTTGTGTAATGATCGACAGATAAACACCAGTGACCCGGGAGCGGAAGGCGAACCAGCCGAAAACAAAGGCAATCAATCCGGGGACAAGAAGCACCATCAGGGCCGCGAACCAGAACATGTCGAAGCCGTACCAGTACCAGGGCAGTTCCTGCCAGTTCAAAAAGACCATGAAGTCGGGCAGGGTCGGATCGCCATAAACGCCGCGCGTGCCGATC